AGAGGTAGGCAGGAACCAAATCATACAGGTCCTTGTAGGCCAAAGGGAGTAGTTTGGATTTTAATCCAACCAACACAGAAGCAATTCTAGTGTTTTAAGCAGGGGAGTGACATGACTAAATTTAATGAAAATCACCATGAGGTGCAAGGATACCAGTTAGGAAGGCTTTGCAGCAGTCCAGGGGGAAGAGTATGGATGGCTTGGACCAGGTCAGCAGGGTTGCAGATGGAGAGAAGAGGCTGGGTTCAGGATCTACTTTGAAAATGCAGTGACATGAACAGTGGGGATGACAGAAAGAGAAACCAAGGCTAATGCTTAGGTTTTGTTTTGAGCAGTTGGGCTGAAAACTCTTGTGTGTATTTTATCTTCTTAACCAGACTGTAAGCTCTTTGAAAGCAGGCCTTTGTCTTAGACTTTGTGTATATCCTCTAAATCTAAGTCTCCACAGAGCTACCGAATATAATGTCTGGCTGCTGAATGGGCTTAAACATGGAATGGCTTCTTTTACAAGAAACCTCAGGGCCGAAACCGGTTTGGCTCAGTGGATAGAGCATCGGCTTGCGGACTGAAAGGTCCCAGGTGCGATTCCAGTCAAGGGCATGTACCTGGGTTGCGGGCACGTCCCCAGTAGGAGATGTGCAGGAGGCAGCTGATCGATGTTTCTCTCTCATCGATGTTTCTAACTCTCTATCTCTCTCCCTTCCTCTATGTAAAAAATCAATAAAATATATTTAAAAAAAAAAAAAAGAAAGAAAGAAACCTCAGGAAAACTACTTGTCCGTTCCTTCGCCGGGCAAGGAGCATGAAAAAGGGACAGCCTCAGTCTGGAGAGATGAGGCCGGGACCCTACCCTCGGTGTACGTAGTCTGGCTAACGCAGGCCTGGTTGTGGCCTCCAGGCTGCTGGCTGTCTCTGCCCTGAACTCAGGATCGCTTGGAAAAGAAAGAAGGAATGTCTCTGTGCGTTTAGCTGGGCCCTGGGGTGAGGGTGAGAAGCCTTTACTTCTGTCTATACCTCCTTCTCCTGGAAGTGGGGACCACCATGAGGAGGTGGGGGATGGGGAGGAGGGTGCACGCTACCAAACGCTCCATTGCTGTTCACAGGAGAGAAAAGCTGAGACAGGGCTGGCAGGGCAAAGAGTCATTCTAGATCTCGAAACTCTTCCTGGAACACCGCCCTCCCTCCCGCATCTCCAAAAAGGGAATAGGAGCGCCCGTACCCCCTCTCCCATGTCCAGAGCCAGTTAGGAAGTCTATGCCCTTGATCATTCTACCCCCACCCCCCACCCCCCAGACCCACACAATCCCAGGGACTCAGCTGTCTGGGTTCCAACAACATGGGTCTTTGCAGAAACAAGAATAAGGAAAGAAGAGAGTTCTGAAGCATAGATATGGGGAGAGGGAAAGTGGGGAGTGTTATTTAATGGGGACAGAGTTTCAATTTTTTGAAATAAAGGCTTCTGGAGGTGGGCGCACTCTCCCTCTCCAGAGCAAGCCCATGCCTGCCTTTCCTTCCTCCGCCTCCCCCCCCCCCCGCCCCGCCCCCAACGTGTGTTACCTTTGCCCTTCCCTCTCCTAAGCTCCAAGGGCCCTTCTGCCTCTGTAACTTGTTTTCGGAGCCTATGCAGCCTTGCTGGCTCACTTCAACCGCCTTGTAACTTTCTAAGTAAACTTTCTCTTATAATTTAAGGGGGGAAAAAGAGTTCTAGAGATGGGTGGTGGTAATGGCTGCACAAAACTGTAAATATACTTAATGCCACTGAATTGTACCGTTAACAACGGTTAACATGGCCCAGCTGGTGTAGCTCAGCGGCTCAGCATGGATCCACGCACCAAGAGGTCATTGGCTTAATTCCTGGTCAGGGCACATGCCTGGGTTACAGGCCTTGATCCCTAGTGTGGGGTGTGCAGAAGGCAGCTCTCTTATCAATGTTTCTATCTGTCTCTCCCTCTCCCTTCCTCTCTCTCTGAAATCAATAAATATATTTTAAAAAATGGTTAAGATGGCCAATTTTGTTATGTGTATTTTACTACCGTTTAGAAAATAAGTAAATACAAAGAAAAACAGATGTTCCCTCGCTGAACAGATCAAGCTCCAATTCTTTATCAGGACTTACAAGGCCTCTCACAATGAAGCCCATGGAACATGCCCAGTTTACCCTTCTATCTCTACTGCCCCTGGTTCAGCCACATCACACACTGTTCCTCATCTTTTATAAATCTGCAGGCTCAGACTTGTATTTCAAGAAATATGCACAAGGCCCTGGCCAGTATGGCTCAGTTGGTTGGGTGTCATCCCATGCACTGAAGGGTCGCTGGTTGGATCCCTGGTGGAGGACCTGCAGGAGGCAACCTACCAGTGTCTCACTCTCACATCAATATTTCTCTTTTTATTCCTCTCTCTAAAAATCAATAAAAATATTTTTTAAAGAAATATGCACAAGGCTAATATCAATAAGAGCAACATCTCCCATATATTGAACACTTTTTTTTTGTGGTTAATCCTCACCTGAGGATTTTTCCCCCCGTGGTGGTTTTGTTTACTTAATTAATTCATGTTTATATATTTTTATTGATCTCAGAGAAGGGAGAGGTATAGAGAGATAGAAACATCAATAATGAGAGAGAATCATTGATCAGATGCCTCTTGCACGCCCCACACTGGGGCTCAAGCCTGAAACCCGGCATGTGCCCTAACTGGGAATCGAACTCTGACCTCCTGATTCATAGGTTGACATTCAACCACTGAGCCATGCTGGCTGGGCTCCTTTGTTTGTTTAATATTTTTTTATTGATCTCAGAGAGGAAGGGAGAGAGATAGAAATTTCAGTGATGGGAGAGAATCATTGATTGGCTGCCTACTGCATTATCGACCCTGCAACCCAGGCATATGCCCTTGACTGGAATCAAACCCAGGACCCTTCAATCCACAGGCCGACACTCTATCCACTGAGCAAAACCAATTAGGGCTACTTTTTTTTTTTTTTTTTTTAGAGAGAGAGAGAGTAGAAAGGAGGGAGGGAGAGAGAAGCATTTCTCTGAGAGAAACACATCTATTGGTTGTCTCCCACAGATGCCCAGATGAGGGGGCCGGGGATTGACCCTGCAACCCAGGTACATGCCCTTGACCGGGAATCGAACCCGAGACCCTTCAGTGCTCGGGCCAACGCTCTAACCACTTAGAAACACAGGCCAGGGCTTGAGCACTTTATGCCAAGCACTGTGCTAGGCATTTGACCTACATGATGTCATCAAATCCTCACAGCAAGCCTATGAGTAGGATAACTTGCCTGTTTTGTAGATGGGGGAACGGGAATTTAAAGATATTTAATAATTTGTTCAAGTTTGGACCTCCCATAACTTACCTCTTTGATGATCTTTAAGAGAACTTGCAAACAGGTTCCTTGGCATGTCATAGAGATCTCTACTGAAGCATTTAACATGTCTATCTATCTTCCAAGACCCTGGTTCTCCAGGGCCAGGACCAAGTCTTATTCATTTTTATTTAGAGACCCTGTGGACCACCTAACACAGCACTTGGCATGTTGTCAGTAGCCAATAAATGTTTGTTGAAAGAAACAAAAAGAGAGGTAAGGAGGGAGGAATGAGGGACAGAGGGAGGGAGGTTCAGAGAGAAGGAGGGAAGAAGGAAGGGAGGGAGGGAAAAGAAGAGAGGCAGAAAGGAAGGTGGAGTGAGTGGGTAAACCAGGCCTGGAGACTGCAGGGTATGCTGCCAAAGTCCGGAAAAATTGTTCGGGGTGTGCAAGAGGCAGGGGACACTGGGCAGGCATTGTAGGTGCCCTTGGTGGGGGCCTGGCAGACTCTGTGTCACAGCAAAGTCAGTCTTAATGAAAGAGTGTAGACAGCTCTGAATGGTAATCAGGAATCTTGGAATCTAGGGCAGGCTGCAGAAAGAGGTTGGGGGCATGGTGTCCTGAACAGGTCGGGTGGAGGGACGAGAGAAAAGCCAGCCTCATGACACAAGGTCAGCAAGCTGCCACTCAGAACCAGCCCGTTGACGGGGACTCAGGTGTGCCAGGCCCTTTACCCTCTCTGTTAACTGGCTCAAACCGGAGGCACGGGGACCGGCTTCTTTTCATTATTCAGGTCTTTGCTCAAGTGACATTGCCTCAGAGAGGGCTTCCCTGACCACCCAGCTAATGCTGCCTCTCCCCTACCACCTATTACATTATTTTATTTTATTCCTTTTATAGAGCTAACCACTATCTGAAATCATCTTTTTTTTTTTTTAAATATATTTTATTGATTTTTTACAGAGAGGAAGGGAGAGAGATAGTTAGAAACATCGATGAGAGAGAAACATTGATCAGCTGCCTCCTGCACATCTCCCACTGGGGATGTGCCCGCAACCCAGGTACATGCCCTTGACCGGAATCGAACCTGGGACCCTTCAGTCCGCAGGCCGACACTCCATCCACTGAGCCAAACCGGTTTCGGCTGAAATCATCTTATTTATTTCTCTTGTTGATGGGCTGTCTGGCCACCACTGCCCTATTTTGTGAGCTTCATAAGAGCAGATTGTGTCTCTCCTTGTCATCAATGCATCCTCAGTGTCTGCAGCTGCTCAATAAATATCAGTTTAATAGACATATTCAAGTGACCCAGGCTGACCCTGAACATTGCACAGGAACCAACCAGAGTTGAATCTGGATTCCCTGTCCAAGCTGAGGCCTCGCCTACAAAACCACACCGTGACTGGGTGCAGGTAGCTGTAAGACCCTGCAAACTCGAGATTGGGAGGGTCCCAGGAGGGGCCTAGGATATGTGTCTTCTACCCTACAGACGCTCCTGGAGCCTCCTCACCCTGGACTCATATAGATAGGTCTTAGCTGATCCCCGCAGAAGGGGCCAGCAGGACCAGCAAGTAACTCACCCTGTAGCCTGCATTACTGGGAGGAAAATCCTTATTAAGCAAGGAGGCTAGGATACTATGGGGTCTGGAAATGGGGAATGGGTTAACAATTCTTTTTTTTTTTTTTAATGGGCACCAGGACCAATGATTACCAGCCGCCCAGCTCCCAAAAAATTATGCTTCCAAAATCTCTTGATGTCGATTCCACACATAAAGCAATCAAGCTGCCCTACGTGTGCCACTCATGACAGAAGCCCTTTTTGGGGTTAACAGTTCTTGAGAGGGAGGAGGACTGAGAGATTGGGATCCAGGGTTGCAGTCCCAGGGCACCCTAAGGAGTTGGGAGCTTTGGGCTAGGACACAAGGATTTCCAAGAGGGCTAAAGACTGGGAGATGGAGCTAGGTGCTGGGGGCGTGGGCATGAGGGTTTCCCAGGGAGCAGAGGCTTGAAACAGGAGGGTGCACCTGGGAGGTGCTGAGGGCACCAGGATTCTCCAAATATCTGGGGGCTGAGGGCTGAGTCACCATATTCTTTAACATCATGCCTTAGCAGCGGTTCTCAACCTGTGGGTCGCGACCCCTTTGGCGGTCGAACGACCCTTTCACAGGGGTTGCCTAAGACCATCCTGCATATCAGATATTTACATGACGATTCGTAACAGTAGCAACATTACAGTTATGAAGTAGCAACGGAAATAATGTTATGGTTGGGTCCCAACATGAGGAATGGTATTTAAAGGGCCAGAAGGTGGAGAACCGCTGCAGGGCAGAGATGCTCCTGAATCTGTCCGTTTTTCCCAGCTATGACCAGCATAAGCCAGTTCTTGCTTAATAGAGTAGAATGCAAGTGACCAAGACTAGGAGAGATAGAGGCGGCCTCCTCCCAGTGCTCTCCTCCCTCTTTCTTTCTCCCTACAGCCTCCACCCCTTTTCCCCAAATCCCTGGCCCCATCTCTCTATGACCCTCTCATGCCCCCTGCTGTTCCTTCCTTGAACAGCAATGGCCAGTCTAAAGGACAACAGAATTCAATCTCTTCCCTTTCCTCCTGCCGGACCAACCCCTTAGGACCATCCTCAGAGAGGGGCAGCTAAAGTCCCAAAGGGAAGGGAGTAGCCCTAGCCGGTTTGGCTCAGTGGATAGAGCGTCAGCTTGTCGACTGAAGGGTCCCGGGTTCGATTCGGTCAAGGGCACATGCCCGGGTTGCAGGCTTGATCCTCCAGTGAGGGGCATGCAGGAGGCAGCTGATGGATGATTCTCTCTCATCATTGATGTTTTTATCTCCCTCTTCCTTCCTCTCTGAAATCAATACAAATATATTTTAAAATAATAATTAAAATAAATTTCACCTTAAAAATAAAAACAAAGGGAAGGGAGTAGATATCTGCTGGAGAAGGAGGTGGGTTCCTGGTTCCCAGGAAGTGATCTCTAGCTGGTGTGTGTGTCCGCGGGTGCTGTTGCTGGGACCTCAGCCTGAGAAGTCACTGCTTCCTCAAGAAGCTTCTTTCACCCCCAGTCTGGGTTAAGGCTCCTGGTCTACAAGCTTTCTTAACTCCCCGACTGCTCCTTTATGGCATTATCAGAGTTTCTAATTATCCACTTATTTGTTAGTCTTCGATGAATACATGCCTTCCCCAGGGGACCATGAGCACCAAGAGGGCAGAAACCAGGGTTGTTTGTACTCATCAATACAACATGACTGGTACATTGCGGCTGTACAATAAATATTTGTTGAATAAATAAATGAGTGACATTCAAAGGGAGTTCTTAGGTGGGGATTTAATGGGTGGTGTTAGTGGCATTGCCTGGGCTCTGGGGACAGCTGTGAGTCCAGATGTCCTGGCTTCTGCTCAGGGCCCGATCCATGTCTAGCCTCTGGTCTTGTGCCCAAAGGCCGTCCAAGCAAAAGGAGGCAGAAGAGGCCTCTCCTAGAGGGAGGTGGCACGGAGGGGGCATTAGGGGGGTTCGGATACTGAAGCTCCTCCCCACTCTTCTTCTTTTCCCCAAACTAAGTTTTTTTAAAGCACTTCCTCCCACTGCCCCCTGTCCTCTCTCATCTTGTGAAAATGTTTCTTTCCCCTAACAATGAGCCCCTTTCTTATCTTCTCCCCTGCCTTTAGCTGTTTCCAATGGTGTGAGGAACTTGAACAGCACTCTCTCTTACCTGGCAAAGTCCCCAGGAAGAGACGCCCCTGGGGGTGGGCCCAGAGGCGGAGGAGGGAGTCAAGGCCCCCCGGAGGCAGAGCAAGGATCTTCTTTGGCCCCTGGCTCAAGAGCACTTTGGACACATTCAGCTTCAGCTGAAGAGGGAGTCCCAAGACCAGGGGCAGATCCAGGCCTGGCCCGGACCCATAAGACAGCACCACCTTCTGCAGAGTGTGTGGGACAGGGACAGAAGTGAGGGAGGAGAGAATGAGCCACATCTCCTCCTGTGGCCCCACCTCCTAGCTGCCTTCATTCTGCCTCTTAGCCACACTTCCTATCTCCTGGCCATTCCCTCCTCCCAAATCCAGCCTCAATTCTCCCGGCTTGACCTTCCATAAAGCCACACCCACCCCAAGTAAATAATACAATCTAAATAAAAGCTGTTTGTGGCCCTGGCTGGGTGCTCAGTTGGTCAGGGCATCGTCCCAGACACCAAGGTTGTGGGTTCAATACCCGGTCAGTGCAAGAATCAACCAGTGATTGCACAAACAAATCGATGTTTCTCTTTCTAGCTCTCTCTCTCCACCCCTCCCTCTCTCTCTCTCTAAAAAAAGTCAATAATAAATGAAAAGAAACAACCAATGAATCCATGTGTAAGTGGAACAACAAATCAATATTTCTCTCTCTAAAAAAAATCAATCAAAATAAATAAATAAATTTAAAAAATCAATCAATAAAATTTTTTTTTAAAATAAATAAAAGCTGTCTGCTTGGTGTCCCCAACCTTAAGGTGTGTCCCTGGCTCCCTTAAGCCTTCTTAATATTGACATTTTGACGTCCCCTTCCCTCCACTGCTACCAGGTGCCACCACAGGCAGTGCCCTTTCTTACTTGATCTTGGAGTTGGAGGCTGAGCCAAGAAGGGTTTTCTGGGGTCCCCAAGGCAAGGAGGTGGCCAGAGCCCGCTGCCAGCTGGAGTCCCAGGTTCACAGAGAAGGCCCAGGGCTCTACGTGAGGCTGAGGAATATCTGGGGGGAGAAACGATCCTCCTGAGGCCTCAAGGCTAGGGATTCATGGAGGAAGGGGGATAGCGGTGGAAGGAGATGGAGGAAGGCAAATACAGAGATGGCCAGGGAGGGGGAAGACAGCCTTTACCTTGGAGACTGAACTCTGCATGAGTTCCTGGAGGGAAGAATATCCCAGGTTGGGACTCTACAGTACAGTTTCTGAGGCCAGTGGGGGCAGACACTGAAATCTGGGCCTGTGGGTCCAGCCAGCTATCCCTGCGCAGGCAGGCATCCAGGGCAGGTACGAGCTGGAGCCCGTGGTGGGAAGGGAAGACACTGGAAGTCAGAATTAGGACACCTGAGCCCGGTCCCAGCCTCCCCACTCTCAGTTCATTCCCCTCCAATACACAAGCGTTTGGCCTCCCCCAGGCAACTCTCATCCCATCCCCTCTTCTCAAAAGGGGGGACTTAAATCCCCATGGCCACCCAGTCAGCAGTGCTTTACCAGCTTGGGTCATGGTTCCCACCCCTGTGATGCAGTTACCGGCAGCCGGAGGTTGGAGGCGGGGAACAGCAGTCCCCCAAGTGCAATCCTCATGACGGGCTGGGGCTTTTTGGCCAGAGGCCCAGCGACCTGTCTCAGGTGCAGCACCTTTTCCTTATCCACCTCCAGCACCACTGAGTCCCCAAGGATCTTCACTTCTACCTGCAGAAAGGAGGGGAGAAGCAAAATCGGAAACCCCTGAGACCCGTCTCCACTGATTTCTTCAGCGTCAGCCAAGTGCAGTGGAAAGAACATGCACTTGAAGAGTCTGCTAGCATCCTTGGCTCACTTAGGACTTGTTACTTATATACTGACTCAGCTTTAGAATTCCCCTTTGAAATAATTGGGGTTTTGTGCAGATTAAACTAGATGACAATGGTAATGGGATGCCCAATGACTTGATTCTGTTTCCCTTACTCAGATCAGCTCAAGACACCCTTCTCCTCAGGACCAGATCTGGCTTACCTGGTGCCATTTCCCATCATCCAGCCGGGGGCCAGCGCCCACGGTAAGCTGGGCCCAGGGGTTGTGCAGTTGGATCTCAGGCCTGCCCTCTCGAAGTCCCAGCACAAACCAGTCATCCTTTGGGTTGGTATCACCATAAAAAAGCACTCCCTCTGGATCCCAGGTTCGAAACTCAAAGGAGGAGGAGGCTCTGGAAGGACACAGAAGGAAGGACTGTGTATGGGGTGTATCTTTGAAGGTCTTTGTGGGGTTTGGGGAGGTGAGGAGGTAAGGGAGAGAGAAGGACAATGAGATAGGGAAAAGAGAAGAGCTGATGGAGATGGTAGGTGAGGGGACTAGGTCAAGACTAGGTCAACCCCATACTTTGTGATCTTGGTGAGGTTAAAGATCATGATAGAGACAGGCTCTTGTCCTGGGCCATTGCTGAGGTGCACAGCAGGAGGGTCCTGGATCCCCTATCAGAGAAAGAAAATAAACAAGCTGGAATAAGGGCATGCCAGAGACAGACAGAGGAGAGGCAGTGTTACAGGGCCAGAGGAGGAAAGATAGAAAGAGGGCAGCTCCTTTAAACACATGGGCTGATTACCCTGTCCTGTTCCTGCACCTGGGTGGGAGTGATCTGTCTCAGAGCCTGTCCCTGGTGGTTATGAGATGGCGGCGGCGGCAGCAGCAGCAGCAGCAGCAGCAACCAACACGATTTGGCCAGGGGGCCTCCGCACTCCATAATCAGCCGGATGCCTCTCTGTGGCTCAGACAACTCTGGTGAGAATGCGCAAGAGCAGGCAGCCTTGCCCACGGTCGGTGGAAGGTTAAAGGTTGCTCCGGGGGGAAGAAGAGGAGGGCAGGAGACAAGGGCACTGACCCTACCACCCTTCTGAGGGGCCAAATAGGGTGAGGGACAAAGTTCCCACTACCCTCCCCCACTGCTGAGAAAGTTTGAGCTGGGAGATGGCATCCCACTCTCCCTGTCCTCTAGAGCCTGACCTGGGTCCTCCAAGCCTGCTGTCCACCCGGGGAGGCTGCCAGGACAGGCCTGAGGGTAGAAACAGTCTCGTCCTGCTCCTCAAGCAGCACCCCAGTCAGGACTAGAGCCACGACCCGGAATCCCAAGTACCTCGCTGAGTGACTGTGGGCAGGCCACTCTGCAGTTGTGCATTAGTGTCCTTGTCTATAGAGTGTGCAAAATGATGCCTACTTTATGTGGTCACTGTGGGTGAGGATTCATGGAGACAATGCCGGCACAGTGCCGGGTATCTGCTCAGCGCCTCCCTCACTGTTTTCCCAGGCCTCGGAGGCTGGCCTCATAAGGAGGTATTGTCCCTGAGTGTGATTTAGTGACCACTAAATTATCTTCTTTTATTCACTTATTACAAGGCCTAGCCATCTACCAACAGAAAGTCATCACCCTTTCCCTGACCCATTTAAAAATTCAATGGCCTCAGAAAAGCCACCCAAGAGCCATAGTGAGACCTAACCGGTTTGGCTCAGTGGATAGAGCGTCGGCCTGTGGACTGAAGGGTCCCAGGTTCGATTCCCGTCAAGGGCATGTACCTTGGTTGTGGGCACATCCCCAGTAGGGGGTGTGCAGCTGATCGATGTTTCTCTCTCATGGATGTTTCTAACTCTCTATTCCTCTCCCTTCCTCTCTGTAAAAAATATATTAAAAAAAAAAAAAGAGCCATAGTGAACAGCTTTCGGAGCTGGTCATAGGCCTCACCAGGGTCTGCGTGGGCTTGCACGGTGAGGGTTTCGCGGATCATCAGCGCCCACTTCATTCCGCCGTGGGATCCCCCCGAGGGGGACGCGGCAGCCCGTGTCCGCAGCGAGGGAGGCGCTGGCAGACAGACCTTGACCGCTGCCCCGCGCCCGGTCACGAGACCCCGCCGCAGGGAGCAGGGCTGGGGGCGGGGACGTGCCTGTTCTACACGCTGATTGGCTGGCGGGTGCGCGCCTGCGGCGCAGAATTTAGGGGCCCCCAGAGCAGCGAAGACAGCTCCGCCCGCTACTCCCTCGGCCCCCCGTAACCGGAATCCGGTTTCCGCTCCCCAGCCCGCGGACCCCGCGGCTACCTCGCTCCCCGGGCTCCCCGGACCCGGATTTGCAGACCCTTTAAAGGGTCCCCGTTGCCCTTCGCTGGGCCCTGCAGAACGGAAGGGGGGGTCCTGGACTTCGGTTCCAGACGGTGGGGATCGGGATGGTTTTCGTGCAGATCCGAGAGGCCAAGGAGGGAGACTGTGGACATATTATGAGGCTGATTCGGGTGAAGTCTGCGAGCCCGAAACCGGGGTCTCACAGAGGGTCCACGTCGGGCTGGAGGGGCGGAGAGGGTGCGGAGGAGGTGGGAGCTGCGGGAGAGGTTTGAGGAAGGGGGGAGGAGGTGGGAGTTGGGGGAGGAGGTGGGAGCGGGGTGGGATGAGTGGAAGCCGGGAGGGGGGCAGGGGGACGGGAGGAGCGCGCCCTGGGTCCTCGCGGAGCAGCGGGGCCTCCTGCGCTAACCCGGCTTTGTCCCCCGATTAGGAACTAGCCGAGTTCGAGAAACTTTCGGATCAGGTGAAGATCCGTGAAGAAGGTTGGGGCTCAGCACCTGGGTCCTGACGGAGGCCGGGAGGAAGCGAGGGATGGGTTCCCTAGGCATTAGCTCCAGGCTGGGCACACACCCAGGCCCCTTTTCTCTCTTTGTCGCAATTACGATCGGTGCAGACTTGAGGGCAGATGGCTTCGGAGAGAATCCTTTCTATCACTGTTTGGTAGCTGAGAGCCTTCCGGGCCCCGGGGAATCACAGGGTAAGACACACCTCCCCCCTGAGAGGTCTCCTCTCCAGTCAGCCTCGGGGGTGTCTCCCATGGCACCCAGTGACCTCACCTCTCGTTACTCTCTCTTTTTCAGGGCCCTGTGTGGTGGGCTACGGGCTATACTACTTCATCTACAGCACATGGAAGGGGCGCAACGTTTATCTGGAAGACATCTATGTTAAGCCGGAATACCAGGGTACAGGGCAGAGGCCCAGGCTGGGGTGGGAGGAAAGCAACCCTATAGACCTGCCCACCACCTAATCCCAGCCTATGGCCTTTTCTGATCCCCTTCAACTCACACCATCCCTCTTTTTGTCTTCTTCCTCCCATATCAGGTCAGGGGATTGGTTCCAAAATTATCAAAAAGGTGGCTGAGGTGAGGAGGAAGAGGAGGCTACACGCCAGGGGCCCTGGAAAGGCAACGGTGTATGGGAGGCACGCAGCTGGAATGGAGGGTGAGAAGGCCTTTCCCAGGAAAGTTAGTGATGTCTCTTCCCCCAGGTGGCCTTGGACAAGGGCTGTTCCCAGTTCCGCCTGTCAGTCCTGGACTGGAACAAGAGGGCCATGGACTTGTACAAGGCCCTAGGAGCCCAAGATCTGACGGAAGCTGAGGGCTGGCACTCCTTTCGCTTCGAAGGAGAGGTGATGAGGAAGTTGGCAGGAAAGTGACTTCACCCCTTGGGGATCTGGCTCTATTTGAGCTTCTCCTTCCCCACCAGTTCCAGCACTGAGTATCTCCACGGCCAAAGGCCTTCCGAAAGGAAAGAAGAGTTAGGAGTGCATATTCCTGAAGCTCGTAAAGAGCCAGAATTGAGGGAAAGGTCTTTCCACCTCCTGACTGAGGATGAAAAATAAATGATAAGTACTATCTCTTGATGCGTTGAGTAGAGAAGTTGTTGACTTGATATGCTTCAGCCACTTGAATAAATTTCCTCTGGTTAGTGGATGTTGCTCCTGGGGGTAAAAGTGGGACCAAGATGACTTTCACCATCAGTGGGCCAGATTTCTTGGCTCTGGCAAGAAATAGAGAAATTAAGAACAAGGGGCCAGCTCAGCACATCAGGCTTATTGGTCACACTGGGGACCCAGACAAAGGCCTCCGATGTCTGCATGAGCTGCGTGAGATCCAAGACTTGAGGCAGGCGCGGGGAGCAGGCTGCCACCTGGTGGTAGCATTTCAGGGGCACTGGGAAGGCTCACTTGCCCTAACTGAATATTTATTTATTTATTTATTTATTTATTTAGAGGAAGAGAAAGAAACATCCATATTCCCTGACTGGGGATTGAGCCTGCAATCTTGGTATAGTGTTCTAACCAACTGAACTACCAGGTGGCCAGTTGTCCTAAATTTTTTTATTATTATTATTATTGATTTTTTACAGAGAGGAAGTGAGAGGGATAGAGAGTTAGAAACATCGATCAGCTGCCTCCTGCACACCTCCCACTGGAGATGTGCCCGCAACCAAGGTACATGCCCTTGACCGGAATCGAACCTGGGACCTCTCAGTCTCCAGGCCGATGCTCTATCCACTGAGCCAAACCAGTTAGGGCTGTCCTAAATTTTAAAAATCAACTTAGCTAGTTAGTGCTCTTTCTTTTTCAAAAGTCACAAAGCGCCGGGCCGGAGTAGTTCATTCGGTTGGAGCGTCATCCCGTGCACCTGAAGGTTGCCTATTCGATTCCCTGGCCAGGGCACGTACCTGAGGTTTGGTTTGATCCCTAGTCTGAGAGTGTTCGGAGGATAGCCAATTGATGTTCTCTCGCTCCCTTTCTCTAAGCTTGTGCATGTCCTCAGATGAGGATTAGAGGTGAAAAAAAAGTCCCAAAGACTTTATTTTCAGTTTAGCAAAACCAAAACAAACCTTTAGGACTCATGGAGAGGAATGAATAGGCTCATATCCTAATTTCATAACATTTTATTACACAAGTAATGTAGGTTTGTTGTAGAAAAATTGGAATGTAAATATAAAATAATAGAATCTGTATCCTAACTTACCTAATTATATTAGCCCTTTGGTATCAATTCTTCAGATTAAAAACAATTTTATTTTTACTTGAGAGAAAGAGAAAGGAGAGAGGGAATGAAACTCGATTTGTTCCACTTATTTATGCATTTATTGGTTGCTTCTTGTATGTGTCCTGACCTGGGATCTGAACCTGCCTTGGCCTATCAGGGCAGTGATTTACCAACCAAGCTACCCGCCAGATTTTTTAAAATGTACATATATACAGCCCTACAAGGTTTGGCTCAGTGGATAGAGCATTGGCCTGTGGACCAAAGGGTCCCAGGTGCAATTCCAGTCAAGGACATGTACCTCAGTTGCAGGCTCTTCCCCAGCCCAGACCCTGGCCGGGGAACATGGAGGCAACCAATGTGTTTCTCTCGCATCGATATTTCTGTCTTTCCCTCTCTCTTCCACTCTTTCTGAAAATCAATAGAAAAATATCTTCAGGTGAGGGTTAACAAAAATAAATGTATATATACACTGAGTGGCCAGATTTTTATGACCACCTGACGTTTGTAGGCAAATTAGCTATAATTTCATGCTAAAGTTGCTAGAGGGCCAGACCATTATAAATAGGGAAGCATGTACCCCACATGCATGAGTACAACCCTTCAAGCTGGTGGGAGCATTGTTATGGTTTGGAGCATGTTTTCCTGGCATGATCTGGGCCCTTTAATTTGTGTGGAACAACATCTGAATAGCACAACATACCTAAGTATCATTGCTGATCAAGTTCATCCTATCATGTTGATCGAATATCCCAATGGAGATGGCTTCTTCCAACAAGACAATGCGCCATGCCATGGTGCTCGTATTGTGCAGGAGTGGTTTCAAGAACATGAGGGAGACTTTACCTTGTTTAGATGGCCCCTACAATCACCAGATCTCAATCCAATTGAGCATTTGTGGGACGAGGTTAAAAGAGCCATCAGGCAGCTGGTTCCACCACCATCAAATCTCACAGAACTGGACAGTGCTATTTATCAGGCATGGTGTCAGATTCCTCGCATCACCTTTCAACATCTCGTGGAGTCAATGCCAAGAAGAATCGCCGCAGTGTTGAAGGCAAAAGGTGGCCCAACAAAGTACTGATGGGGTGTTCATAATAATGTGGACACTCAGTGTATATACCAGTATACATATAATTAAGTGTGTAGGGATTTATGAGAGCATACTCTTTTTGCAAACTTTTTTCATTTAATATATTAGGAGCATCTTCCCATGCTATTATACACCCATCATCACTTTCCATGGTGACATGTTATTCTCTTTGTTGATGAACAGTCGGTTAAATGGTCATAATTTAGACACTGAAAAGAACAAGCAGTCACTTAAATGTGTAAATTGTAAGAAACAATCTATGAATGTCTAGAAAGTTGAAGATCCATCTTAAAAAATTTGAATGAGCCCTAGCTGGTTTGGCTCAGTGGATAAAGCATTGGCCTGTGGACTGAAGGGTCCCAGGTTCGATTCCCCGTCAAGGGCACATGCCTGGGTTTTGGGCTTGATCCCCAGCAGAGGGCGTGCAGGAGGCAACCAATGATTCTCTCCCATCATTGATATTTCTTTCTCTCCTTCTCCCTTCCTCTGAAATCAATAAAAATATGTTTTAAAAAAATACAGTTCAGTCCTAGCTGGTCTGGCTCAGTAATTAGAGTGTCAGTCATGGGTTCAGTTCTGGTAAAGGGCATGCACCTCAGTTGCAGACCCAATCCCTGGGTCTGGAGGCAACCAATCATTGTTTCTCACTTCGATGTTTCTCTCCGTTTCTCCCCCTCCCTTCCACTCTCTAAAAATCAATGGGAAAAATTGTGAGGATTAACAACAACAAAAATATGATTCAGTCAAAGAGAACACTTCAGGGTCCCCAATTTAAAAAAGAATTTTTAAAAATATTTTTATTGATTTCAGAGAGGAAGGGAAAGGGAGAGGGAGAGATAAAAGCATCAATGATGAGAGAGAATCATTGACTGACTGCTTCCTGCCTGCCTCCTACTGGGGATCGAGCCCATAACCCAGGCATGTGCCCTTGAGCAGAATCGGACCTGGGACCCTCCAGTCCACAGGCCAACGCTCTGCCCACTGAGCAAAACCAGCTTGAGCTAAATTTTTATATATGTACTAGAGGCCCGGTGCACAAAAATTTGTGCACTGGAGGGGGGCAGGTCCCTCAGCCCAGCTTGCCCCCTATTACATACTGGGAGCCCTAGGGGATGTCCTACTACCTGCTCCCCGCTCCCCTTAGGGAGTGGGCCTAAGCCACAGTCTGGCCTCCCTTTGTGGGAGTCGACCAGGCTGATCAGGGGAAGGCACCAGCCCATCACCACACTGTTGCAGCCACTGCCAGTCACGGCAGCCACCAAGGTGTTTTCATCAACACGGACTCCAGTCCCTTTACCATGAAAAAATGACAACTTTCTTTAGGCATTTTCAAGAAATGTCTTTCATAGGATATGACATTCCTTTTTTCTTTCTTTCTTTCTTTCTTTCTTTCTTTCTTTCTTTCTTTCTTTCTTTCTTTCTTTCTTTCTTTCTTTCTTTCTCCTCACCTGAGGATATGTTTCCATTGATTTTTTTTAAATATATATTTTATTGATTTTTTACAGAGAGGAAGGGAGAGGGATAGAGAGCTAGAAACATCGATGAGAGAGAAACATCGATCAGCTGCCTCCTACACATCCCCCAGTGGGGAAGTGCCCGCAACCCAGGTACATGCCCTTGACCAGAATCGAACCTGGGACCCTTCAGTCCACAGGCCGACGCTCTATCCACTGAGCCAAACCGGTTTCGGCATCCATTGATTTTTAGAGAATGTGGAAGAGAAAGGGAAAGACAGAGAAACATCAAAGTGAGAGGAACACTTTAATTGGTTGCCTCCTGCATGAGCCCTGACCTGGGCCCGGGCCAGGGAGGAACCTGCAACCTAGGTACATGCCCATGGTCAGAATTGAACCCAGAATCTGCGTTGGGCAGGCCGAGGCATTAGCCACTGAGCCAAACCAGCTAGGGCAGGATATGACATTTCTTAACCCTCCAGCAGCAGACCTTCCTTTTTTTCTCCAGGAGTGTGGTGGAAAAACCCTAGATCACCTATTTGGACTCTCATTACCCAAGTTACTAAGAATATTACCAGTGGCATACAGGGAGCTTAACCAATCAGCAGTCAGAAAAGGTGTTTCCTCTGTAGTTCACACCAATTGCCTGTTTGGCCCCTGCCCAGGCCTAACGCCTCTGGCGAGTCATTAGCCCTGGGCTGGGGCACCCCCAGCTCCCTGCCTCCGCTGCCATCAATGATCACTGGCTGGCTCGTCCCCGGCCCAAGCCTAAAACCTCTGGCCGAGGCATTAGGCCTTGGCTGGGGCACCCCCAGCTCCCTGCCTCCACTGCCATCAATGATCGCTGGCTCAATGATCGCTGGCTGGCTCCGCCCTGGCCCTGGCCAGAGGGCTTTAGGCCTGGGCCAGGGCACCCCCAGGTCCCTGACGCTGCCGCCATCAAGGATTGCTGGCTCAATGATCGCAGGCTGGCTCCTCCCTGACCCAGGCCTAAAGCCTCAGTCTGTGGCTTGGGGATGACAAATGCAAATTAGCCGCCATCTTGGCTGGCGATTAATTTGCATATCTCGCTGATTAGCCAATGGGAAGGGTAGCGAAGTTACAGTTAATTACCATGTTTATCTATTATTAGATAGGATATATACATATATACATATACATATATACATATACATATACATATATACATATATACATATACATATATATACATATACATATATACATATATATGTATATATCCTATCTAATAACAGACAAACATGGTAATTAACTGTACCTCCGACATGCTTCCCATTGGCTAATCAGGGCGATA